GTACTTTTCAAGAAGTCACAGAGAGGGTGACACTTAAGCAAAACCCTGCAAGAGGCAAGGGAATCAGACACGCATGCATCTCAAGATGTTCTAGGCAGAGCAAAGCCAGGCAAAGGCCTGAGATGGGTGGGTGCTTGGCAGTTGTGGGGAACAGTGAGGAGGCCCCTGAGGCTGGAGCAGGTGAGTGAGGGGGCCAGTGGGAGGAGATGAGAGTCTGGCAGTTCATGTGAGGCCTTGTGGGCCTCAAGCGCCCTGGGAAGGACTCCGGCTTTCCCCTGGAGTGAGATGGGGCCATGTGACCTGTTGCTTAGGAAAATATGGAACTTGGAGATGAGAAGAGGCCTCAAGGTCAGCAGGCTGTGTTGTCTCCAGGTGACTGGTAAATAGGCCCGATGACAAACCAGGAGGTGATGGTGTTTAAAAGGATTAAATTCGCTGCCTCTGTTAAAATTTCCTCCCAACAAAGTGAAATGAGGTCTCAACTTAGATATCAAAAAATAAAAAATAAAACTGCATTTCTTTCAAATCTAAATTTTGGCCTGAGAGGTGGACCTATGATCTATTTTGTAAATTTCTTTCGGCTGCCATGTGGGCGGAATTGGAGGGGATTCCCAGGACTGGGAGGCAGGGAGCAGAAGAATGGGGGGTAGGCTGGGTCTGAACCAGGTGGAGGCCGTGGAAGCGGGGGATGAGGGAGCGGGGAGAAATAGGTGTCCAGGATGAGGCCCAAGGATCTGGCCTAGGGACTGGAGGACTGTGAGGGGCCCTGAGATGGGGACTAGAAGGAGGAACACATTTCTGGGAGATGCTGTGGCCAGTTTGGGGCACCATGAGAGTGAGAGCCCAAGAAGAGGCATCCAGCATGAAGCTCCGAGCTCCAGAGTGAAAAAGAGACTGAATGTGACCCCAAAGTCCTAATGCCTGATACCCCAAACATCTGTCATTTGAGTTTCACTTTCCCGTGTTTGCCACATGTCCATGCATCACCTGTACTCTTAGCTACTTGATAATTTTCTTTAAACTGACTCACTTCTTAAAAATTCAACATATTTATTTAAACAAGAGGTGTCATTACACTCTAGGAAGTGGAAAGCCAGTGTCAACCGCCATACGTAGAACATAATAGTACAACTAGATCCAGCGATTCAGCAAGGATCAAGGAGAGGTGCTGAAAGCATTGGGTGAAAGATTGTTGGAGACATGTTACTTTCGGGGTCTCAAGGTACCCCCCACAAATGGCATTATAATTCAGAGAGGGAAAGGCACCTTTCTGGGGGAGAGATCTGGCGGTCACTTCCTGTTATGGGCTGAATTGTGTGTCCCCATCCCCCCAATTCGTATGTCGAGGTCTTAACCCCCAGTACCTCAGAATGTGACTGTATTTGGAATAGGACTTTTAAAGAGGTAGATAAAACAAAGTCAAGTGGGTGGGTCCTAATGCGATATGATTGGTGTCCTCATAAGAAGAGGCAATACGACACAGACATACACACAGGGAAGACCTCGCAAAGACAAAGGGAGAAGACAGCCATCGACAAGCCAAGGAGAGAGCCCTCAGAAAGAAATCAATTTTGCTGACACCTTGATCTCGGACTTCCAGCCTCTAGAATGGTGAGAAAACAAACTTCTGTTCTTTAACACCCCCAGTCTGTGGTATCGTTATGGCAGCCCAATCAAACGAATACACTCCCTAACTCAATGGGCAAAGTTAGCATCACTAATCATGGGGCCCCTGATGGGAGGTAGTTAGAAGGACCCAGGGTCACCCATGGAATAGTCTTCCTGTAAGTACAGGCCCAGGATCTAATGATGAGGAAACACCAGGCAAACCCAGAAGGTGGGAATGTCCACAGAACAACTGGCTGGCACTCTTCAAAAAGCCAGTTCCGGGAAAAAAGACAAAACAAAAAAGATGAGGAGGCCAGTCCAGATTAGAGGAGACTAAAGAGCGATGGCAACTAAATGCAGTATGTGATTCTGGATTCAATTTTAGACCGGAAAAACACGCAACAGCTATTTTGGGGGAGACAATTTGGAGACATTAAGCTTTGGACCATATGTCAGAATGTGACTGAAACAGTGTTAAAAATACATACATACAACCTAAAACCATAATACTCCTAGACGAAAACAGGGGAAAGGCTTCATGACATTGAATATGGCAATGATTTCTTACGTGACAAGAAATCAGTGACAAAAGCAAAAATTGATACTTTGGACTATATTAAATTTTAAAACTTCTGTCCATCAAAGGAAACAATCAACGGAGTGAAAAGGCAACCTACAAAATAGAATGAAATATTTGCAAACCATGTATAGGATAAGGGGTTAACATCTGGAATATAAAGAACTCCTACAACTCAACAACAAAAAACTAAAAAAATGGGCAAAGGAGTCTACAGTCATGCTACCCTGAACAAGCCCAATCCCGTCTGATCTCGGAAGCTAAGCAGGGTCGGGCCTGGTTAGTACTTGGGTGGGAGACCACCTAGGAAGACCAGGTGCTGTAGGTGTAAAAAATAAAAAAAATAAGGGATCATAAGCTGACAAGGTCCTTGCAATCTGTGAGGTCAACCAAGGGTTGCCTCGCCTAAAAAAATAAATAAATAAAAATGGGCAAAGGACTTGATAGACGTTTCTCCAAAGAAGATATACAAATGGCCAACAAGCATAGGAAAAGATGTTCAACATCACTGATCATTCACTAATCATTAGAGAAATGCAAATCAAAATCACAGTGAGGTATCACCTCACAGCCATAATGATGACTACTACCAAAAAACAGAAAGTAAGTATTGGCGAGGATGTGGAAATATTGGAACGCTTGGGCACTGCCAGTGGGAATGTAAAAAGGTGCAGTCACTGTGGAAAACAGTTAAGAGGTTCCTCAAAAAAATGGAACATAGAATTACTATATGATCGAGCAATTTCACTTCTGGGTATATATCCAAAATAAATGAAAGCAGAGTCTTAAAAAGATATTTGCACACCCGTATTCATTGCAGCATTATTCACAAGAGCTAAGAGGTGGACGCAAAGCAAACGTCCATTGATGGATGGCCTGATAAACAAAATGTGGTATTATGTGTGCAATGGAATATTATTCAGTCTTTAAACATGGGAATCCTGTCATGTGCTACAATATGGATGAGTCTTAATGACGTGATGCTAAGCTAAACAAACTAGTTCACTAAGAGACAAATGCTACACGCTTCCACTTTTATGAGGTATCTGGAGTCATCAAAACTGTGGAAACAGGAAGTAGAAGGGTGGTTGCTGGGGGCTGGGAGGAAGGGGAAACGGGAGTTGCATTCGATGGGTATAGTTTTAGTGTTACAAGGTGAAAAAGTTCCAGAGGACTGTTACACCTCAATGTGAATATAGTTAACACTACTGAACTGTACACTTAAAAATAGTTAAGAGGGTAAATTTTATGCTTTTTACTATGTTTTAAAAAATTAAAAATACATACATACACAAACACATAATAAATACAATGACATTCTTGGCACCCTGCTTTCCATAGAGGTTGGCTCTTTCTTGAAGGAGGAGATGGTCCCCTCACATTTGCTGGGGTCTGGCTGTTCCCTGTCGTTCTGCTTGAACATAAGATCAGAGGCCACATCCTTCCTGCTTCGCTCCTCAGTGCAGTCTTCCTCAAGCTTTTGGGCTGTCAAAAACAGTTGTGATAAACTCTTTCCTGGCTCATTTTTTAGCTGACATCTAAAATTACAGAATATTGGTCATTTGTAAAATGTAAAATTTTAACGGCAACGCATCTCTTTGCCAGATGGATTAAGAGGGATCTTCCTATTTGTCGATCTAATTTCTGTATCTATAGATGAATGGCCCTTGTTGCTAGAATGGGACTGAGAAGGGTATCAATTTTGCTCCTGTTACGTTTCCTGTGGCTGCTGTAACAAATGACTACAAACTCTGTGCCTTAAAACAACAGAAATGTATTCTCCTACACTTCTGGAGGCTAGAAGCCTGAACTCAGCGATCATTGGGCTGAAATCAAGGTGTCAGCAGGGTCCCACTCCTTCTGAAGTCTCTAAGGAAGAACCGTCCCCTGCCTCTTCCAGTTTCCGATGGTTGACAGCATTCCTTGGCTTGCGGCTACATCTCTCCAATCTTTGAGGTAAGTGTCTTCAAATCTCTGTTCTGCCTTTACATTGCCTTTTCCTGTTTGTGTCAAATCTCCCTCTGCTTTCCTTTTATGAGGATACACGAGATTGCAGTTAGAGCCCCCATGGATAATCCAGGATAATCTCCCTGTTTTGAGATCTTTAATAACAACTGCAAAGACTCTTCTCCAAATAAGGTAATAATCATGGATTCCAGAGGTATCTGGAATGGATATCTCTTGGGAGGCCGTCTTCAGCCTACCCCAAAAGCTTTGTTCATTAAATCATTTGGCAAGTATTTACTGAATACCTACTGTGAGCCAGGTGTGTGTCTAGGCACAGAGGATACAGCTACGAACAAAACGACAATCCCCAGCCTCTTGGAGCTGACAGTCTAAGGCTGCACTGTCCGGAATGGTAGCTATGAGCCCTTGCAATATGGCTGGTCCCAACTGAGATGTGCTGAAGTATAAACTACACAGTAGATTTAGCGCGCACACACAAATGTTAAATATCTCAATAATTTAAAAATGTTGATTACATGATTACATGTTGAAGTGATAATGTTTGGGATACATTGGGTTAAATTAAATGTTAATTTCACTTGTTTGTAGCTCTTTTAAAATGTAGCTGCTTGAATAAGTAGAATTACATGTGTAGCTTGCATTGTATCTCTATTGGACAATGCTGTTCTAAGGGGAGGGAGAAGACTATGGACAATTAACACAATAAATAGGTATATTATATGATGTGTTAGGAACTGATCATTTCTATGGAAAAATAAAGATCAGAGTAAGGGAGTGTATTAGTTTCCCATTGCTGCTATAACAAATTATTATAGACTTAGTGGCTTAAAATAACAAATTTATTCTCTTGCAGTTCTGAAGGCCAGAAGTTCAAAATAGATCTTAAGTATCTAAAATCTTAAAAAGTGAAGGTTCCTGGAAAAAATCCATTCCTTGTCTTTTGCCGCTGCCCGAGGGTGCCTGCATTCTTTGGCTCCTGGCCATCACTCCGACCTCTGCTTGCATCGTCACATCTCTTCCTCTGACTCTGACCCTCCTGCCTCCCTCTCATAAGGACCCTTGTGATTACATTGGGCCCACCGGAATCCAGATCACCCCTCCATCTTAAGATCCTTAATTTAATCACATCTTTAAAGTCCCTTTTTCCATGTAAGTTAACAAATTCACAGATTCTGGGGACTAGGAAGTGGACATTGTGTGTGTGTGGGGAGAGTGGGGTGGCATTATTCTGTCTACCCCGGGGAGAAGTTACAGTTTTCTACAGGGATGCCCGGGAGAGCCCCACTGAGACTTGACATCTGCCATGTGGATGTTAGGGAAAGGCATTCCAGGAAGCAGGATCAGCCTGTGCAAAGGCCCCGGGGTAGACCCACTTTTTCTTCGTGGATCTCTTCCTCCTTGCTGCCTCGAATCCACAGGGCCGGAAGTTGGTGCTGTCCCAGGTGCCTCTGCAACTTGCTTGAGGAACAGAAAGGTTTGAGACCCCTAATTCGTCATTGGTCTCTCGGCACAGTCTCTATTGCCCATGGTTCCTCAAAAGGCAGGTCGGCCTGTGGGGAGAGGCAGGGGTCTGGGTCAGAAAGGCAACAAGGCCAGCCCTCCCCTCTACCTCGGTCTGACGGATGATCACCTGGGCTCCGGTGCGGTCCTGTCCATGCAGCGTCCGCCTGCGGTGCCACTGGCGCAGGGAGGCACGGGCCTCGGAGCTGAGCCCCTGGGGCGCGCGTCCAGCGTCGGGCTGGTAGTGGGCAATGTGGTGCAGCGCCCCAAACCACGTGGTCAGGTAGTATCCGGCTGGAGAAAGACAGAGAGGTCGGCGCAGCTCCACTGAAGGCCCCCGCAGTTTTCCCGCCTGCTGTTCGGGGCGCCCCACTGTTGGGTCCTGACGTTCTGGGGATGCAGGCTCACCTTCTCCCAGTAGCTCTTCCGGATCCAAGAGCTCCATAAGAAACTCCACGTCCAGCTGTGTCTCCCCAATGTCGGGACTCCAGATCAGCTCCTCAGTCAGCGCCGGCAGGAAGGCGTCGGCCCCCAGGGGCTCTGGGGGAGCCAAGGACAGGGTCTGAGATGAATGGGTCGTGCAGGCACCTTCCGCCCCATCTCCAGGACCGCGAGTGCTGGCTGCGCCTCCACCTTGTTGGGCGTGCAAACGCCTCTTCCCGGACCCCCCAAGCCCGCATAGACGCCTCCCCTAGAGCGTGCCACTCTCGCCCCTCGTCCGCGCGCAGGCGCCTACCTGGCCCCTGCAACCCTCAAAACCGGTCTACTCCTCCTCTACCTTGGTTTTCGCCGGAAGCCAGGCCCGCGTAGACGTCATTGCACACCGCCAGTAGCAGCGCCACCTTGCGGCGTGGGGCGCAGGCGGCGTGGAGGTGCGCAAGGCGCGCGTGGATGCGGCTCCGCAGGGCCGGACCCTGTCCCTCGGGCCCCGCCCCCTGAGCTCCGGAAGGCCCCGCCCCAGCCCGCAGGGCTATTTGTCGCCGTCGCAGTCGCCGCAGCTCCGGAGCGCGGAGTGTGCGGAGTCGCATCCACAGAGCGGGCTTCAGCGGTGCCAGTACCGCCCGGCACAGGGCCGCCTCCACTGCGGGGCCTGTGAGGGGTGGGCGGGTGAGGGGGCGGCCACCGGCCTGACGCTCGCGCACCCGCTCACTCCATAGACCCACCCTAGCCGACCGCCCCTCCTCCCTAGCTTCTGGCCCCGCAAGTTTAGACATGGGTGTGGGATCGCGGCTGTCACACCTGTGTGAGATGGAGTGATGGTGAACAGAATAGGTGTTACTCTGCCGAAAAGGGCGTGTGAGTGGAAAAAGAAACACGTGTGCACAGGATGGAAAGGAAGATGTTGGGTGTGAACACATACGTAGGGCCAAGAGATGACAGACGTGAACCTGTAGGTTCAGGGAGTGGCCATAAGTTCCCTCCCATTCCTCCTCGTTACCAAGATCCTCGTCCTTCTGGGGTACCCCGGGCCCCCTGCTCCCAACGACAGCCCTGACATCCGGGTCCTTCGCTAAGTGATCCTGGAGGTCAGTAAGGAGGTGCCGCACATCTTGAAGCAGCTCTGTGGCGGGGTCCCCAGGCCTGTGGGGGCCCCCAGCATCTGAAGTGAGGCGTGCCCGAAGACCTCGGAGCTGCCTGGCCACGTAGCTGCTCCGGGCCCTGGCCAGCGCCCGGACATGACGAGTGAGCACATCCTCAGGCCCTTCCTCTTCATCTTTATAGTTGTCATCCTCCTCCTCCTCCTCCACCAGGCTGGCCAGAGCTGGCCCAGGATGGTGTACTTCTGGGCTGAGAGGGCCTTCTACCCAGGAGACCCGGTGAGGGGCGGGGTTCCTGGGGGCTGGATGTGAGGAGAGGGTTGGGTCCCCCAGAACAGCAGCAGCAGCTCCAGCGACTCGGGGGCCCAGGGCCCTGCCCGGCTCACCTGCATCATGTTTCTCCGCGGTCTCTGAAGGTGTCTCTGGAGGGGTCTGCTCCACGCCCCACCCTCTATGGGCCTCCAGGTAGAGCTGGTTCACCACGGAAAGCACCCTCCCTGAGGTGTTGAGTTGGACATTGCCAATCTGCAGAGGATCTGGGGGCCAGCAGAAGTGAGGTGTCTCACATGTCCAAGGGGCCAACCCTGGGTCCTTCAGGGCACCAGGAAACCGAATTCCCAGCCTCCTTACTGGAGGAGCTGTGGCTTGGCCGGCCCCACTCATCCTCACTCAGGTCCGGGAGTCAAGCCCCGCCCCCCAGCTCCCTCAGACCCCCTCCCTACCCTCTCTCCAACCTAATAGTCTGGTCCCCCAAGCGCCATCCTCCTGGACCCAGTAGGTGGAAAGTTGGCCTTTCCCTCCCTTAGAGAGCCATGACTCACCTGTGTGTTGTTCCCCAGGCCCTAGAGTGGGAGGGGGCAAGAGCAGCGTTCTGGGCAAAACATCCCTGAGAAGAGACAAGGAGATGCAATGTGGGTGGGGTGTCTTAGGGAAGGATCCCCCTTAGCCCTTTTGACCGGTAACCTGTACCTGCTGGCTGATAGGAAGGCCAGGAGGTGGGGCAGGTCCGGCATGCAGAGGTTGGAGGATTCTAGAGACATACCTGGGGGGGGGGGCAAGGAGGGATGAGTTAGGAAACTTGAGGGGTGACGGCCTCCTCTTCCCTGGGACTCTCTCTTTCCCAGTCCTGAATCTCCTAAGAACCTTCAGAACAGGAAAATTTCCACCCTTCAGAGTCCCCATCTTTTTCTGTGTCTTTATGCTTGCATCCTACTTATTCTGCCAAATATTCATTCATTAGACAAGTATTTATTGAGCACCCGTTCATTCTCAGATACCGAGGATACAGTTGACAAAAGGCAGACACCTTCACTGCCTTCCTATAGCTTACCTTTTAGCAGAGGGAAACAGAAAACAAATGAGTAGAAAAATAAAGGTAAGTGTATATTGTATTGAATGCCATGAACAAAATGGAGAGATTGAAAATGACTAGCTCTATCTTAACTGGTGGTCAAGGAAGATTACATTTCCACAGAAGCTGAAGGGTGGAGACTAAACTAATCGTACAAAGAAGAGCATCCATTCAGGGTGAACAAATGCAAAGGCCCTGAGGCTGGGACTCATCGAGTGTGCTCAAGGAACAGAGAAGAGAACAGTGTGAATGAGGGGCGGCAGATGAAGGGGTGGGCAGGTTGGCTAATACAACATTTTATAAGCCATGATGAGGAGTTTAAGTTTGTATGTAAGCAAGCTGCATATCCTTTGCGGGGTTTGAGGCAGGAAGGTATAACGTCCGACTGATGTTTGAAAATAACTGCTCTGGCTGCCATGCTCAGAATGGATTGCAGGAGGGGAAGAGTACAAGCGGGGAGACCAGAGAGGAGGCTACTGAAATTGTCTGGGTAAGAGGCGATGGTGGCTCAAATTAGGGCAATGGAGGCAGAGCGGATGGGGAACGTTTGGAAGATATTTGGGAAGTAAAGCTGACCATTCTTGATGATAAATTTGCTGCTGACTGGAAACTTGGGGGCAATCTCCTCACCTCCAGGAAGCTTCCGGATCTGGTAGGTATTGACTTCCCCCGGTGAAGGTCCTGTCCTCAACCTCAGGACCTCGCTGGAGTCATGTCCTGTGACCAGGAAACTCTAGGGGGTGGAGACAAATGTCAGCATGAAGAGGATTTGTGCAGATGTGTTACTTTTGCCTGCCCAGCATCCACTCCCCATATTTTGGGTTCCACACCCCAAATTTAATGAAACCCACTTCCTTCTTTCAGTCCATGCGGATAAGACTGATTTCCCCCAAGTCCTAGAGGTGGGTCCATGACCTGACCTAGCCAACAGGATGACAGTGCTCTATGATTGGTTCAGAGATGGACATGTGACCCAAGGTCAGCCAATGGGACTCTTCCACAGGATTTTTGCCGGAGCTCTTTGAGAAGAGGCCTCTTTTGACATTGGGGTTCTCACGGGGTGAGATGTGGTGCTGAGCTGGGGACAGCCATCTCTGCCACCACAAGGAAAGAGCCCCACACCCATCTGGAGGAGGAAGCTGTGGTAGACTCATTAGTTGTATTATTCACATCTATGACTTGTTCTTTGCAAAACTAGCTTTGTTCAGGGCATTAATATGCACAGCCATAGAAGATGGATAATCATCGATGCGGGCAGAACTTCCTATCTCTGGGTGTATAATTCCCAGGTGAGCTTAAAAAAAAAAATTGCTACCTCGGCCCTATCCATATATTCTGAATCAAATGTGAAGGCTTTTGCTGGTAAAAGAAACAGATGAAACTAGTGCCTCCTTTCTTCCCTTCCTCCTGCCTGGAGTACATATGTGTGCCACTGGGCAACCATGATGGAAGTCCAAGAGAATTGCAGAGACGCTGGCCTTGATGTCACCCAAGCTGCTGAACTAGAGCCGCAGCTGCCTTTCTGGTTATTTTAGAAAGATAAATGCCTATTTGTTTAAACTACTATAGCATGAATGTTTGTTATTTATAGTCCAAAACATTCAGAATTCCTCACAGTTTAAAGCAAAGCCAAGAAATAAGATGAAGAGAAATTTATAAGTTGTCTGATGCTGGATCCAGGCTTTTTTGAAATTACTTTTACTTCTGAGTTTTTCAGTCATTTGAATCAATAAGTAGCCTTTTTGCTTTGGCCTGTTTGTGCTCTTTGTCACTAACAACCAGCAGATTCTTTGACTAATCTAGGATGTCATGGGAAGGTGGGAACGAGTCCCCAGCTGTGAGTACTCACCCCCGGTGGCCACAGCTCCAGAAGGGCTTCTGCACCCTGGGCATCCAGCTCTGGGATTTGCCACACCCCCCATGTCCTCTGCAGGCGAAGGAGTGGCTCTGGGGCTGCCAGAACCCCGAAGCAGGTCTCGCCTGCTCCATTTTCCTGTGATAGGACCAGTCTGGGACGGGCAGGGTCCCAGAGACCAAGAATCAGAGGTGGGCATTGAGGCGGAGTCGAAGGTACAGGGAGAGCAAGCCCAGGGGTGAAGGATCAGAGATGAAGTTCAAGGTCCTGAGGGGGCAGGCATTGGATGGAAGGGGCTTCTGAATCCAGGGATAGGAGATGGAGACCCCAGCCCCAATAGTCCTCACCTTTCCTCATTGGTGGGGTCTGCTGTGGCCTTGCCCTCTTGCTGGGCCATCCTCAGGATGTGGGAGGCCAGCAAGCCATGGTCTGGCCTCTGGCAGGGAGGAAGATAAGACTCAAAGCTGCTCCAATTCAGAGATAATATTCAAAATATTGACAACCAATAAGGCAGAGACCCTGACCAATCAGAACGGACCCAAGGCTCCTTGCCGCGCCAGGTGCGAATTCTCTCGTTGCTAGATGATGGGGAGATCTGGGAATGCCAGGAGGGAGGTTATTGTGTCTTGGGGTGGGGGACGAGAGACTCAAAATGACAGATATTCGTCAAATGGTAGGAAAATATTTCCGATTTTAACATCAGTGCAGCCATATGAATGTGGACCAGCTGAGTAACGAGACTCGTCAAAACCCAGGGCCTGGAAAAGGGCTTGGCCCATAGTAGGCTCCACAAATGAGACAAATGTTACACTACATCCCCCTTCCTCCCTTCTCAGACCACAGAGGGTCCTTCAAATATTTTCCCAATATTTTATTATGAAAATTTTCAAACATTTAGAAAAATGGAAAAAATTTTACAGGGAACATCCGTATACCTACTACCTAGATTCTGCCATTATTTTACTCATTGTTTTATCTCGCAGCTGTCCCTCTACATCTGCCCATCGGACCCTGTTAGGCAGGTCCAGGATCCTACAGTGGGTTGCCAGTCAAGGTGGGCATTCTTGACTAGTTTCCCTGTAGTGCTCCCAGGAGTGGGAAACCTGGGCCCATGCATCCACGTATCCCACGGATATTTACTGAGTACGGGCCCAGGATTAGGCGCCGGTGCCCTGGGGAAAGGGTGATGGGCAGAACAGGCCCTGCTCTCAGGGGCGTCCCTTCTTGGGGTGGGTAGAGGAGGAGGATGATAAACAGCTAACCAGACCAGTCAGCCTGCTGCCCAGAAACTCAGGGTCTTAGGAAGGGAGGACCAAGCGCAGGTGCCTGTTCAGGGGAGAGTGGGCAGGAGGGGTGGGGAAGCAGGCAGGTGCTCACCTGGGTCCCATGAAGGGGAGGAGGAGGATGGCGCTGGGCAGGGCGGTTTTGGGCAGCTGCCTGATACCAAAGGTACAGGGAGAGTGGGTGACGATGGCAGCTGCTGGGTCCCTAGGGGCCCCTACCTGTTCTCTGAGGGCAGGCCTGGAGGAACAGGAAGTGAAAGTGTTCCTCACAGAGAGGAAGCTGAGCAGGCCAGGGGAAGAGGCGGAGCTGGGGGTATCTGAAGTCGACCTTCCTCTCTCTTTCCCAGGGCTCAGGCCTCAGGTGACAGGGCTTTGGAGGAAGGGACCCCGGCAGACTGGAAGTCCAGGGATAAGAGCCATGAGGCTCCCATCCACCCCAGAGTCCCCTCTTGCACCCCTTGCTGGATCTCACGAGAGCCTGTAGATGTTCTGGTTTCCTTGGTGGCTGGAGATCACCCCCACCCCAGTGCTTCCCTGTATACCCACAGAAAGGAACAGCCAGACCAGACGCTGATTGTTAGCTTTTGTTTTTAATTTGTCTCCAAAAGCAACATCACGTACCCACCACCGCATGAGAAGTTGGTCCTGAGCGAAGCTGTCCCAGCACCCACTTTGGGAGTTGGAGGCAGAGAGGTGAGAGGCCTTCAGGCTCAGACTCCCACGAGCGAGTTATGTTTGGAGGGCCCCCACCCCCAGCCAGGGTAGGTTAGGTTTTGTCTACTTAGTTACAGGCCCCTGAGAGTAGTAGTGTGTGGGGATCCTGGGGACTCTGTCCTGAGACAGTTAGAAATTTGGAGGCCCCTGGCCCTGGGAGCAGTTAGAGATTAGGGGAGGTTGATCCTTGCCCCGGCGGTGGTTAGAGGCTCTAAGCTGTTAGAGATGGGCTGCCCAAGCCTCAGCCCTCAGGAGATTTTAGAAGTTTGCTGGGGTTGGGAGGGCTGGAACCCCAGTTTGAGGAGGGAGCGGTTATGGGATTGAGGGAATGCTCTGAGCTCCCACACAAGAGCTGCAAGTTAAGGGGAGCCAGGGCTGGTTGGGGCTCATGTGTCCTAAAGGAGCTGGCATCCTGCCTGGAGAAGCAGCTGTCACTTGGGTTTCTCCCCCTCCGTGGTCCTGGCCTCCTCCTTGGCAGGAGGTGGGGACTTCCTGGGGGAAGCTGCAGTGGTGGGGTTGGGGCTCCCGGACCCCGACTGAGCGTCTATGCTGGCATGCTCCTTCCGGACCAGGTCCTCCAGCTCCTTCTACAGGGGACAAAGTTCCGAGGGGTCAGAGGTCACCATACCTCATGGGGTCAGAGGAACATGGGACAGGCATCCAGGGACTGGGCTCAGGATGGGCTGGGGTGGTCCAGGCTCCTCACCTTCCATCCGAGGAGGTCGGCAAGGGCCAGACAACCCTGGTCACAGTCACCCAGCCAGGCCACGTCCCTGCGGGCAGGTGAGAGAGTCCAGGCGTGTCCAGGCTTGTCCAGGGCGCCTGACAGCTCTGCCCTGTCCATGTACCATTATGCCCTCCCTCCCCTCTTGGACCTGTCCCCTGTAGGCCCCAACCCACACAGCAGACCCAGGCCTCACCTGTAGGCCTTCTTGGAATCGAAGTCCATGCCTCCTCCGAGGCCCATCATCATTCCTAGGAAGGGGTCAGTCTGCAGGAAGTGGGGGGAGGGAGCTAGGAGCACAGACCCTTGAGCCAGGTGGCCTGGGTTTGTACCCCAGCTCTGTGACTTTGCTCAAGTGAGCGGGCCTCTCTGAACCTCAGTCTCCTTGTCTGTAGAGTGGGGGTGATCAATAAACCCACTCCTAGGGTTGTACTGTCAGTGCATTGGTACAGGGAGTGCGCTTACAACAGTGTCTGGCACATGGTATGCTATTGCCCCTTGGAAGAAACATCGCCCCCCAGGAGGGAGCCCGTGCTTGAGGGTGAGGCCACCTGGGGGAGGGGGCGAGCCGAGAGGTAGCAGGCGGCTCTGATGTCAGCGCTGAAGGCCTCGGCTCCAGCGAGCCCTGATTCTTCAATCCCAGGAAGAGCAACACCCCAGCACTGGCTTAGGTTGCTCTGAGTTGGGTTCTATCATCTGCTCAAAAGGATCCTGACCCAGAGGCCTGTGGAATCTTAGAGTCAGGGCAGCCTGGAAGTTGACCGATTCTTCTAGATTCTGGAATCCCTGGTCCTGAGCTGAGGGGGTCTGAACTATTGGGTTCCCTAGAGACCTGTCTCTTCCTAGGAAGCCAGTGGGAGGAAATGGGGACCCACATGAGGAGGAGGTGGGGAAGAACGGGGGGATGTGATAAGAGCTGACTCACCTGGCCAGTCTTTTCCTTGTTGATGAGCAGACGAGGAGTAGAGAGGGGTGCCCTGGGGGGATGGTGAGCTGAGTGGCGAGGACGCGTCCTGGCCCCCCCAGCACCCACCCCGCCTCGTCCCCGCCCCTAACCTACTTGCCAATGAGGGATGCAAAGGGCTGCACCTGCAGGGAGGTGCCCATGATGATGAGCAGGTCCACCTTCAGGAAGTCCTATGAAGGGGGAGAGGCCATGAGGGCCACAGGACCCTCCTCTGAGGCTGGGCCGTAGTCCCCTGCCTTCTATTGCATGCCCACCCAAAGCTAGTTGGGGAAGTGACCCGCCCCAGTACAGGACCCAGGCTGTCCCCACATGGGCTGAGTGCAGGCTGATGCTGGGGACACTTACTGACTGCATGCAGGAGAAGAAACGCGCTGGGAGGTTCTCACCAAAGAACACAACATCTGAGGTGGAGACAGACGAACAGACAGACAACACAGGACAGAAAGGGACAGTGAACAGGGAGGCAGACACGGAATCAGAGGCAAGGACAGCTGGAGCAGAAGGCAGACCCGAGGGCTGGGCAGGGCGTGGGGCAGCGGGGGACAGGCCAGAGCTACAAGACCCTCTCCGTGGAAAGGAGGTGATCAGAGGCGGGATGGGTGGCGTGTGACCTTCTTGGGAAGGGGATGGGGGTTCCCAGTCTGGCCCCAGGCTCACCAGGCTTCACCACGCTCTGACACTTCTCACACTTGGGGGTCACCTCGGAGAAGATCTTCTCTGGGCATGGAGAAGGGGGAGGAGGGGAAGAGGGGAGAGGCTGGGGGCTGCGGGCTGCAGCCTGCCCTGCTGCCTCCCCATGCTCTTTCCTTCGGTGTCAACATAAACATGCCTCAGTCACCAAGGAACCTTCTGGGGTGTCTGCCCTGCCCAGGAAGGACCCCTCTTCTCAGAGAACTGTCCCCACCTACCCCCATGCCCCAGGAGTCTAAGGGTGGCTCCTGGTATCAGTCTATAGCTACTAAAGGAAAGAATAAACAAATGAGCAGACTTATCGCTAACAGGGACCACTGCACTCCCCAACCCCCCACCCCCCGGGGACTGGACTCAGGGGGTCTTTGAGGGCGGCCCTATTTCATCCTGGGCCAGAGATGCCTGGTGGCCTCAGGCCAGGTGGCTGAGAGAAGGAAGAATACGCAGATGATCCTGGGATGGGTACAAATCCTTAGGCCCACCTGCTTCCCACACTTGGGTTCTGTGACTGGCCCCCCACCCCTGACTCACACACACCATCCTTATGACAATCATGCTCCTTAAGGAAATCTGAATGCATTCCGTCACTTGCAACACACAGACTCATTCATTCACTCATTCATTCCTTCAACAAACATTCACAGAGCACTGTTTTAATGCCTGTCGTTTACTTTAAAACATTTCTGCACTGATGGCTTGCTATTTTGGGGGTGCTGCAGGGGATACAACTGTGAGTGACCATAATGGGGTAATGTTAATTGTAACTACTCCCAGCTGCACGCGGCTGGCTATTCAGGACCCGTCCCCCCAGGGGCGGTCAGCTGGCGTGGCATCAGAAAGGCCACACTCCAGAGGCCCTACTACAAGTGCTGTCCTTGTCTGCCATGGACACCGGAGACTTTGTGAAGTCAGCATAAAGAATGTCAGAAACGGGTTTCCATGGGTGAAATAAGTGACTTCTTAATCAGCACAATGGATGTCAGAAATAGGCTCTTGTTGGCATTCAAGAAACGTGGACTGGCTGGATTTTTTGTTCTTTTTTTAGACACTCTGCCCTTACATGAACGAGGACTGTGACTTTAGCAGGCCCCTAGGGGCGGCCCCAGCTTCACCCCCAGCCAGGCCTGTGTTCGGCTTCACACACCATCAATTCTGCTTGCCTGAATCCAATGGGCTAACTGAATTGTGGTGCCATCCAACATGGCCGTCTTTTTAAATTTAAATTAATAAAAATGAAATAACATTTAGAATTCAGTTCCTCAGTCCTACTAGCCACATTTCAAGTGTGGTGGAGCAGCCACATATCGCAAGCAGCTGCCATGTTGGACAATGCAGAAATGGAAGATTTATTTCCCTCACCTCGGAAAGTTCTATCGGACAGTTCTGCTCTTGTTAAAATTTCGTTCCGTTTTCCTTGATGAGCACCTTACGTAAGACGGGGTCAGCGCCCCTCAAAGGACAAAGAGCTAGGGTCTCATGACCTCATGGAACAGGCTGTGCGACTGTTTGGGGGCCTCTCTGCTAACACGTGTCTGTGTGTGCGTGGAGCTCGTGTCCACTATAACCTGTCTGTGAGGTGGCGTTGGGAGCACGGAACCCTGTTTCTGCCTCAAGCCTTTGGGGGCTGCCGTTATCTACTGAGAAGAGCCACGGAGCTGTGTGGTGCCCACTGGCCAGTGACCCTATTCCTGGCGCTGACGAGCGGACGGTGGGCGGGAGGCCTGCCCGGCCGGCGCCCTCCGGGCCCTCACCTTTCATCCAGCTCAGCGCGTACTCCTGTCGGCAGAGGGGGCTGACGCAGTGCGACGTGTAGAAGGTGCCGTGGGCCTCCACCAGGTCTTCGGGCTCCAGCCCCGCCACTCGCTCCAGAGTGTCTATGTTCTGGAAGGAGGGCGGAGGGCGGAGGGCCGGGAGTGAACCACAGCCGTCGGGGGATGAGGCGAGGAGGGAAAGGTAAGGGGCAGGGCGTGTCCAAAACCTCTTCCCTCTGACCGTGCCACCGAAAGGGTAAAAGCTGTGGACACATCCAGGCGGGGGCCCCAACCCAAACAGCCATGAGCCAGGCCGATGGCCACCACGAGCCCTCTTGGCGTTTTTCTACAAATTCAGGCCACTTTGCTTCCATTTTTCAGAAAACTTGTTTGTTAGAACCACACACTTGAGTGCCACCTGCCAGAAATCTGTTGAAATAAATGTACAAATCTAGTTTCCATTGTAAACAGAGCCCCTCAGAGAGGGGTCTTTGTGCAGCACCCAACCTCCACGGCCGTGTGTGGTGGGGGGACTATTTGGTTTTAATCACGCAGTTCTCCTATTTAGCAGCTGTTTCTTACTGAGGTCAGCTTCATAGATGGCAAATTAACTTGTATTCTTTTAAGACACAGATACTTTCCCAATTGACAAAACAGGATTATTCTTTTCCACAAAGATACTTGTGCTCTCTCTTTTTCCCTCAAAACAAACAGCCCCTCTGGAGTAGCTTTTGTTTGCCCGTGAGGCAGGTGGTGACGGAGGACACTAGCAGATGTCACAGAGAGATGGCCTGTCACATGTGGCCCACGGCTGAACCGACAAGTTTTCCATGAATGATCGGAAGGGTTCCTTCTCAACAGCCTCAACCGCCCTCTCTGCTCCTTGCCAGCAATCAGCTCATATCCAAAACATGCAGACAAGTCACTGTTCCCAGACCCTCTGAAGCTTTTCCTCTTCCCGCTCTATCAGAAATCCTAGTTTTCCCTTTGTTACTTGATTCAGTCTACTGACTGACTCCCTCACGCGTGAGTAAGCAGTGTGCGTGCAAATAACTCAATAGCATTTAGAAGAACTGCCTAAATGACTGTGTTATTCTTTGATGCCACGTTTAATCAGGAAACCGCAAGCAAACAAAAACCATGAGGCTGACCTGTATGTACTGATATGAAACGATCTCTCCAAGATGTTACAAGGCACAAAAGCACAAAGGCAGTGTGTATAGGATGTGAAAAAACACCTATGACTTTGTGTATCTGCCTAAGTATAGAACATCTTCGAAGGACATGCACAAAGGAGCCAACAGTAGTGGCTTGTAGGAAGGGAGCTGGGAGCTGAGTGCTACGGCCCAGGGAAGTATTGGACTCAAGGACAAGCACTGAACACGTGGTGATACGCAGGAACTGCCATTTGGCCCCGGTGCCTGGCAGGAAACAGGCCATGGGGTGGAGGCGGCCCCGGGCAGGGGTGGGCAGTGGCCACTCAGCTCCAGCCACAGCTCTGCCCAGGAAAGCCACCTAGGGTGCATGCAGCCAGCTCTTCCCAATTTTCAGGAGGAGGCTGAAGTCTGATTTTCATCTGAAATCTCCTCATTGTTAAACCTTGGTTCCCTTTTTATTTCCAAACATCGCATCCCTGATTGACACATCGCCGACTGCAGCTTTTTGAAAAAATGAAGCTGCTGTGTGGCTGTGGATATGGAAGGGTTTTCCAAGACAAGGGGTCAGGTGAAAGAAAGCCAAGCCCAAACCCTACGCGCAGTATAAACCCCATATATACATATTTAAAAGAATGTTTTGCTGCGGAGATCATAGTGATTTGAGTGAACAGGACAACTGTTTTCATGTTTGAATGGATACTTATGTATCGAGATAAAAATAGCATCATACATCACTTCAGAAGTGCTGCATTGTCACAATTCAGAAAAGAGTGAAGACAATGTGTTCCAAAAAACTGGGTCAATGACTCAAAAAGTGGCTGAGGTCGAGGAAGAAGGTGACAGGTTTGAAAAAAATGGTTTCACGAAATGTGAGAGTGGAAAGATTTTTTCCACCTTTGTCTATTTTAGGTAATATGCCATTTTGAATATTACATGTAGTTAAATTCCATGCATTAAATATTGTAAGTGTGTGTGTGTGGGGGGATGCCTGCACAGGATGCTCTGACCCCAGAATGGATTCGTATTGGCTCTCAGGTAAAAATAGAGGGCAGTTGGTGTGCTTTGTGGTCAAGGGCAGGGGATTTTGCCTCCTGTCAGAGCTGGGAAGTGAGCCCGCTGAGCAGCCCTGGCTTCTCATTCTAGGACCTGTGATCTCATCCTGTCTGATAATTTTAAACTCCAGCTCAAGTCCAGACTCTTACATCCTAATGCCTGTCCACATCTCCACGTGGGTGTCTGACGAGCGTCTCTACCTCAACATGCCTCAAAGCAAACGCCTCCTCTGCCCCGCCCCCCAGCTGAGAGCTGTCCAGTCCTTGATTCTTCGCCCTCATGAATCATTTCACACTCAATCCATCAGCAAGGCCTGTTGGCTCCACCTTCAAAACTGATACATAACCCGCCCACCTCTCCCTCTCCGCGGCCCCCACCTGGCCCGGCCTCCATCCTCTCCTGCCTGGACCATCACAGCAGCTTCCCCTGCGGTCTCTGTAACCCCCTCCCCACTGCCCCCACGATCTGTCCCTACATGCAGCCAGATAGAGACCCGGGTCAGGCCATGTCCCTACCCTGCTCAGAGCCCTCCTGTGGCACCGTGTCACTCAAGATAAAGGACAAAGCCCTTCCTGTGGCTCCCGAGGCCCTACACGGCCTGCTTCTGTCACGGCTCTGACTTGCCTCCTCCGTTCTCTTGTACCACGTCCTACTCGCTTGATCGGACCTAGGTTTTTGAACGTGCCAAATACAGTCTCCATTCAGGACCTCTGCACTGGCTGTTCCCTCTGCCTGGGTGCCCTCCCGCAGATAATCCCACGGCTCCCCGCCTCCCCTCCTCCAGGTCTTAGTCTAAATGTCCCCATCTCAGGGAGGCCTTCCCTGATGCCTTGTTTGCAACACACGCTACCTGCCCTCCGACACACACACACACACACACACACACAGCACTTCTGATTCCCCTTTCCTGCTTAATCCTGCCCCACAGAACTCTCACCATCTGCCACACAGGATAAGCTACTTATCTACCTTGTCCACCGTCACTCTCCCCACATCAAACTGTCAGCCCCAGGAGGGCAGGGATGTCTGCTCTGTTTGCTGCCAGCAGTGCCTGGCACTGAGTTGACACTCAGTAAATATGTGTGACAGAAGTTGACAAACAGGGATGCCAGCAGGGCCGTGGTGAGGAGTCCATGAAATCATGCTCAGAGGGAACTCGGTTTCAGGTAAGCCATTTGTATCATGTCTGAGTCACGTCCTGTGGATAAAACTGACTCTCTGGGAAGAAAGGTCAGATTTATCCTGAGCGAGGGCTCTTTCTAGAAGGAGGTAACTAACAGTCCCCTCCACCATCACACCATGGTCCCTAGGCAAGAGCACTTGCCCCTTTGAGAAATCTGGACCGAAAAATAATTCATCCTGCCCCTGGTGGCAGCTTCCGAGGCTGCAGGTTCCACGCTGTCAAGTGTAGGAAGGAAATGTTAGAACGCCTAGTTATATCCATGTGTTCTCTATTTTATAATTTGGGGTTCTGAGGTATGATTTATAGCATGCATGATATCATTGTATAGTACAACATGTCATTTCAATCAGTATTCATAAAACAAAGAGGCACAAGCATTTTTTCCTGTTACGGTGCGAGATCCCAGAAGTCCTGCCGACTGGTCTAGGAGCCAGCGAGGTGAGCCGCCCTTGCCTGAGTACCCGGGGGAGGCCCTGGGCTCAGTGCCCGACATGCACGAGCCATGGCTCACTCGAGGCCTTTGTGCAAATTATAAACAGGTGCCTCTTCCTTAGGATACCACATCCACCAGTTAGGACATTGTCACAGTGCATGGATTTGGTTAGATCAAGTCACTTTGGTGTCATCTGCCAGAAAACCCTATGATGCAAATGATGTCCCCTCCCCTCAGATATGAGGTCCTCTCTCAGTACACACGGGACGGCCCCAACTGGGGTTCACTGCCACGTCACCACAGATCCGAGAGCGCAAAGCTGTTCTAGCCTCTGCTTTATAGCAGGGGAAACTGAGGCCGAGAGAGGAAATGACTCAGTGCAGGTCACATGACAAAGCAGCAGTGGCTGGAGCTCTTAGCGCTGAGGCCGCCCTCTTCCTCCCAGGACGCCCGCATCCCACCTACCTGCGTGTAGCAGCGCAGAAGCAGCCCCTTCTCCTTCAACAGGCGGATGAAGTAGTGACAGAGGGTTGGCTGCAGGGAGCAATCATGACAACGCTGATAACAGCAGAGAAGACGTCCCGCATCGCCACAGGCGGGGACTGGTCTAGGCGCTATGCCTGTTTTACATCATGGTATCATCATCACACTGACCCCGTGAGGCAGAGACTGTCATTATCCCCATTTCACAGATGTGGAAACTGAGGCACGGGGAAGCTGATCGTCTTGCCAAAGCCGCATGGCTGGCAAGCTGCAGAGCTGGGATTCGTACAAAAGCAGCCTAGATCCAGAGTCTGGGCTCTTCCATGTATCGTAAACTCATTTAAGCCTCGCGACGACCCTTTTCATGTACTTTCAGCTTCATTTTACAGATGAGAAAACTGAGGCTCAAGATCGCAAGAGCAGGAAATGAGGGACCGAGAGTTGGACCCAGGCAGTCTGGGTCCAGAGCCCATGTACTTAATGACTACATGATATTTGTCCAAAGGGCCCTTCCCATGCCTGCTGTCCCTTGGCCTTTTCTATCCCCGCTGCAAAGACGAGCTCACCTTGAATTGCCCAGGATAGAGTTCCTTGGCGAGGGCAAAGAAGGGCTCCGGATGTTTCTGTGAGAGAAAGAGCGGAGGGCACGTGGGCACCCAGATGCCCCAGGTGAGATGGGAACAGGTGGCACCATCCTTCCCACATCATGACAGACATTCCTTCATTCCTTCCTGGGGGAGTACATACCTTGAAGTAGCCGATCTCGAAAATGGCCTCCGGGTAGGGAAGATGGTACTTCTGCAGGTTGGCATAGAGGCCAGTGGATGGGGAGCGGAAGTCAGGGATGCCCGCAGCTGGGGGAGGAGGGGCAGGGAGCAATCCATCAGGGACCTGGGCCCCATCTATATCATAGTGGCTCCCAAGTGAGGGCCCACACATGGCTCCTCCTCGCCCCTGGAAGGGGCTCCCCCAAACCTGGGATGGGCGACTGGGGGAGGGAGCACTTACATGTGGAGATTCCAGCTCCTACCAAACAGATGACCCTGCGACCTGCAGGAGAAGAGTGTATGCATCACGTGACACGCTTTGCTTGGCCCCAAAAGATACTACCCATCACAGCCCCTGAGACTATTTACTTGGTGCCAGGCCCTGGGGCAAACATTTCAGATGCATGAATGGTCCCCCCAACCATCTTGGGTGGGTGGTGTTAACATCCCTGTTTTGCAGATGAGGAAATCGAGGCTCAGAGAGGGGAAGGAGTCACACAGTCGACTGCTGGAAAACCCAGCGCGGGGACAAAGGATCTACGGTTTGAAATTACACCAACTTAAGAATTGAGAAAAGATCACAGAGAGGTTTCTCCCCCTAACCAGATCTAGACAAAAAGCATAAGAGCTTAGTGAGGAGGTGGGGGCGGGGGTCCCCCGGAAGAGCTACGGGTTATTGGAAAACTCCCTGGCAGCACCTCACCTTGCGAGCACCACCTCGGGTGACCATCTATTTCTAGCATGTTATGCACATTCCGTCCTCACATTCCTTTCCTCCATAATCACACACATCAGCCACCAGAAGTTTGGTAATTTTCAGGTGAAGAACAAAGATTGGCCGCACTCAGCCCACACCCAGTGAACAGGACAGCGGGTGCGGGCTTCAGGCCTGGGCTCTCCTGCTCACCAGCAGGAGGCCTTAGTTCATTCAGATCACCACTCCTGGCTTCAGCTTCCTGGTCTGTAAAAGGGGCATAATTACCTCGCAGGGCTGTTGAGAGAATGAACTCATTCATGTAAAGCTTAGATCTGTGCCTAGCAGCCGATCCTAGAACAAGCCGGGGGTTAATCCACCTACAACTTCTGACTCCCCAAACTTAACTACTAACGGCCTACTGTTGACCAGAAGCCTTACTAATGACATAAACAGTGGATTAACACACACTTTGTATGCTATATGTATTATATACTGTTTTGTCACAATAAAGTAAGCTGCAGAAAAGAAACTGTTAAGAAAATCATAAGGAAGAGAAAATACATTTACGGTATTTATCGGAAAAAATCTGCATGTAAGAGGACCCGTATAGTTCCAACCTGTGTTGTTTAAGGGTCAACTGTACACGTGTCTATTCTTCTTTGAGTCAATTGTACTAGACTTGAGACCATGATTCATACACCTGTAAGCACTTTGTTCCCTCATTTTTACCAGCTTCCAGAAAAGAGGATGGGAAGATGTGGCGGGGTCAAATCATTTCACAAGCACATCAGGCCATGCAGAAATAGCCCAGTTGCCTCTTCAGCTGCTGGCTGGCAGGTGACCTTGCCACGCAGTACCCTGGCATCTGCCTGTTAGCTGATGGACAGACGCAAGTGAGGCCCTGTGAACCAGGCGCCTCTGGGGTGTCCTATCCAAGGAGGACAAGGGTGTCAGAGACGGCAGCCTGCTTCAGCCTCAGCCTCAGCCCTCTGCTTCCTCTCGGGGCTGCCATCGAACCAGGCCTGGCTGGACCCGGGGCGGGGTGTATCGTGGAGAGTCTGTGTGCTCTGGATTCAGGGGCCCTGGTGTTGAGTCCTGACTCTGCCTCTAACCAACTGTGTGACCCTGCCCCAAGTCACAGCCTCTCTGTGCCTGTTTCCTCCTCTGTCCAGATCACTCCTGTAATGACCTCACAGGTATAACGAGAAGATCAAATGAGAGGAGGCCTGTCAAATGCTTAGCCCAGTGCCTGACAAACAGTAAAGGCTAAATTAACTTATTATGTATTATTATCCCCTCATAGGCACCCCCATAAGCCAATTATCCAGAAACCCAGGCGCAGGAGGACAGAAGGAACAAAAGCTTTGCAGCCACTGCCTGGGTTCTCTGAGGCCAGCCGGAGCCAGAAGCGGACTGCAGACAGCTGCATGGC